AAGTTGTGTAATTAGCGTTAATGATCTTCCTCTGATGTGTACGTTAGCCATGCCTTGGGCACCAATACTCCCCCATACCATGACAGACACTGGCTGTTGAAATTTACAGTGTTAACAATCTAGATGTGCCCTTTCTTCTTTGGCCTGGACAAAACATCCATTATTTCCCTACACAATCTGGAAGTTTGGCTTGTCAGACCACAATACACACTTCAACTGTGCATCGGTCCATTTGAGATGAGCTTGAACCCTGGACGCTCCTTTTACACCCAAGCATAATTGCATCATTTGTTTGTTTGTTGTTGTTTTTGATGTTTTTTTAAAGTTCCTGGTTTTAAATTCCCCACTTTTTGGCCTGTCCCAAATTTTTTGGAACATGATGCAGACATCAATTTCAGAATAAGCGTATACACTCTCAGAAAAAGGGCACAAAACTGTCACTGGGGTAGTATCACTCTTGTCACTGGGGTGGTACCCTCAAGGGTACATCTCAGTATCTTTAGTCAGGGAACATAACTGTACCATAATCTATTTTTTCTAAGCTGTATTGACTCCACACACCCTGTCTCGTCTCCAGGCTTTTTATTTTATTGTTCTGTGTTAAAACGTTACGTTATGAAAAGGTACAAATATGTATTTTTCACCTGGGAAAACTATTTTAAGGTACACAGTTGGACCTTAAAACCACTGTTGTACCTTTGGGGGTATTTAGATTGCTCGTACCTTGATAAGTGAAAAATGTATCTGTACAATACCTTTATTTTTAACAGTGTATATACACAAAACAATGAAGTTGATAAGGTAAAAAAATCTTGTCTTTGTACTGTTTTTGTTTAAATACAGGTCAAAGTGGATTTACAAATGTCAAGCATAGCATTAGTTCAGGCAGGCCACAAAGTCAAGTTCAGGCCAAAATCACCTGCTGTTCTCAGCTGATCTCTATCTGATCGCTGACTATGCATACAATTGGCTAAATTTGTCAGCGCACTTATCTGAGCTGCTTTACCCTGCCCATTCTTGCTACTTCCTCTGCAGCCACTTTGCAATTTGCCTCCACACCATCTCCTCCCTACTGTATCTGACTTGTTCAATGTCATGTTTGTCGTTATTGATGTCTGCTCTGTTCTGTTCCCTAGTGGTGGTCTTTCTGCTACTCTCCCTGCCTTAGGCTTTCCATGTATGTATATGGAAGGGCAAAGAGGTCCTAGAACAGAACCATACTGCCAAATACAACTTACTGCAAATGGAAATAAAATTTCTTTGATTAAGTGGTCCTGACTTTTTTGGAACTGAATTTGTATGTGTAAATAGCTGCCCTGTATTGTGCCTCATTCATAAAGCAGTCCAGACTGAAACACTCCTTAAAACTTGTAAATATGAAGGTTTTCATTATCTCACAAAGAAAATGAATTCAGAAGGAGCCATTTTTACATTTTAATTTTCATTCATAATATGGGTTATGAATGCTATGTTTCAAAACTTTAACAGTACGTACATAAAAGTCTTCTTTGAAAAAAAAATGAGGAAAATTCCGTTTTCCATGACATGAACCCTTTAATAATAAAAAGTAACCATTTGTGATCATAAGCATTTTAGGAAAACATTTGAATCCTAAACAACCAGTCTAGTCTGTAACCACCAAACCACAGTAAAGGTTCATTTAATTATAACTCTACTTTTTTACTCACCACTTTATATAGATTTAGATTAAACACACACTTTGTCCTTAATCTTTCACTGTGCCTCACACACCAAGAATCAAAACTCCCTCAGATGTTAAGTTAAAGTTTATTTTTCCCTGCTTTATTTGTCTTTTTCATTCTCCTATTTTTGCTTTCTCGCTCCTTTTTTCACCTGTCTTACATCAGTCTCACATCCTGTGCCATTATTTACTGGTCCCTTGCGTCTTCATCTCTCTCCTCTTTCTCCTTCCCTCTCTCTCCCTCTGTACTGTAGCAGAATTGATTATCTGTTGAGGTAAATCAGAATGTGTAATGGCTGCTTTGGCCTTAATGACTTTATTATTGGCAAGTGGAGCTGAATGTGGCAGGAGGGTGGGGGGCTGTTGTTTTAACTAAAGTCATGCAGGGAATAACAATAGGCTTAGGGCTCTCCCTGAGGCCACCCAGCAACTTCATACCCTGCATGAGGAGAACAAACACCAGCAGGAGAGGTATTAGAGAGCCCTGTGTGTGTGCTTGTTTTAGTACAAAATTTTAGGACAAAGTGTCCTGAAATGGCCTGAAAACTAGAGAAAAACTACAATAACATATGATTTATGGACCAACAAAAATCCCCCTAGCTTTGTAAAGTGCTATGTTTCATTTTTATAACTGAAATGGCAAAATTGTACCCTTGTGGTTATTGAGGCTAAGGTTAGAGTTAGGTTAAGAGTTAAAAAGTCCTTTTAACATATTGGTAATTACATATGGGACATATTATTATTGCAAATAGGAACTTGCATACTTCTGTGAGGGAATACCTTCAGAAAAAATTAACATACCTTTCCAAAATTTGAATTGTGGCTAAATACAGTTGCATGCAAAAGTTTTGGCAGTGTTTTGACATGACAAATAATATATTTTGTTGTTTGTTTAAGTGTAATTATAGAGAATAATTTCATAGGTGGCCTGTGCAAACAATAGGGCACATTTCACATTTTTTACTTTTTTTTATAATTTTACTTTTTCGCCAGCAAAACTCAGCAAATAAATAACAAATATTTGCACTAAAATATGTAGACAAATGCTTTTTGTAAGTGTGTTCTTTGTAGAGGATGTGTTAACACCTTAAAATCCCAGGTTTATTACATACTAAGGCTTATTATTCAGTAATTACAGGGACTTAGGGGCAGCCCTAAGGCCATATAAGGAGTTAATTGCACTTAGAAGATAAACAAAACATGTAATTTGACCAGAAATTCTAAAACTTTTGCATATGGCTGTATCTGTGCTGTACTGAGAGGTTAGGGTTTCATCCCAAAATCTGTATATCCCTTTGTAACAATTGTGGCTACAGTAAGTTTTTGAAAAGAACGATTGCTGATGTATAAGAGAAAACACATGATTTCCATATAGTGAACTTCTCAAGGGTCTCAAAAGTTCACGACCAATGTCTAGTGAGATCAACAGCAGCTGTATGTTCCAACCAGTGAGTGTATATATCAAATATATCATATGCACAGTCAGTGGTTCCAACCCCTCTGTGACTGTAGCCTCTCGCTCTCATTCATACAGCTTGTGGATTCTTGTTGCAGTGAAGGATCTTGAGGGCAACTGCAGTGGTCCACTTTGCTGTTGCTTTTGTGAGTTTGCCACTCGTTAAATTATCCATAGATCCCTCCCAAGCACTGGCCAGCACAGTCTGCCGAAGGTTCCTAAAGTATTACTTTAACAGCCATTTAAAAGCTGTATTTAAATTAGAAAGTTACAATTGCAGATTCTTTCATAGCAACACACAGCCTGTGAACAGTCTGGATGACAGCGACTAGAAGCAGTTTATGCAGTTCTTATATGCTAGTTGTTGTTAAGTGTAACGTGACAGAACCAGCCGGACGCTCATGGTAAAAACAAGAAATGAGGCTTTACTAGTAAAGGCAACTAGATCCAAAAGGGCAATGACAAAAAAGCAAAGTCAGAAAGTCCAGCAAAAGGGTCAAATAAACAAAAATGGCAAACAATGGCAAACAGGAAACACTCAGTAGCTTTGCAATGAGAAGCAATACCTCGCAACCTAATCGAAAGCCTGGGCTTACAAACAAAATTAGACTTCTCTTATGACTCATAAAACAGGTGCAAAGCATCAGTATTCTGGTGATTGTGAGCAGTGATTGGACAATTGAGGAAGTTCAACAGTCTCCCACAAGATTCTGGGAAGTGGAGTCTATGAATTAGTCGGAGCTGGAGGGATGCATGACATTTAGGGTCTCTCTGTCTTGCTCCAGACCTGTCTTTATGAAACTTGCAGTTGTAGAAGTGCTGCCAATGCTCATTAAATACTCAGAAGTGCATACTGTGGCATAATTTATCACAGAAATGATAACACATCATCACATTGACCACACCTAGACTGTATACACACGTGTAATAAAGAGGGCACTTGTCAAGCTTTACCCTGAAGTAGAGCTAGAGCAAAAACTGAACTTTCCTGTCTAATTTTTATTTAATTTATTTAATTTAATTTTATTTAATCTTAGTCACATTAAAATCAAACATCTCTTTTGCAAGTGAGCCCTGGCCAAGAAGGCAGCACACAAAAACTAAGAGGACAAAATAGAAACTACAGCAGCAACATCAGCACCAAAAACAGCATAACCTTGCCAATAGCAACTAAACAAAAGCTATCAGGAAATAATGGCTGTTCGTCAGGGGCTTTTGAGGAGCTTGCGTGTTGCTTACAACTGCTCGATAAATGAAATGCACATTTCTCATCCATATTGCATAGCATGGCCATGCACTGAGTGCTCAGAGCCAAGGAGAAAAGAAGAGAAGAAAAAGAGGGGAAAAGAGTGAGAGATGAGTGTAGAAACAGTGGAGGGTTTTGCTGTGTGTCTGTGGAAGTCTATGCTGTCATTTCCGCTTGAGGATGATGAACTACACACACACACACACACACACACACACACACACACACACACACACACAGGTTTTACCTCTGAAGAGAAAGACAACTGATTACGTCCTCTCTGACAACAATGTTTGTGCCACCCACCCACAAACCCAAACACACACACACACACGCACACACACACACACACACACACACACCTGAATATGCATGTCTGGCAGAGAGAGGCTGCAGACTTCATCATTTCTATTCACTCACTTAATATTCACCCGACAGACATTTTTCCTCGTTCACATCAGAACGTTTCCCTCATTTCATTTCATCTGTCCGTCTGACCGTCAGTCTGTCTGTCTGTGAGTCTGACTGACTGTGTCTGCCTCTATCCAACTTCAGGGTGAGATTATTAAAAAGAGAGAAGGGGAGAGAGAGCGAGACAGAGAGAATGGTGAAGCAAAAGAGAGAAACAGAAAAGAGTGGATGGAGAGAGAGGACTTGGAAGAAAAAGAAAGAGAAAGAGAACAACAGGTTTTGAGTAACATAGAGATTTATATTCACAGGTTTAAGAGGGTCTAGAGAGGATGAATGGTAAGACAGATGAGGAGAGAGAGAGAGAGAGAATGGTCAAGCAAGGGAGAGAAAGAAAGCAGTGGATGGAGAGAAAGAGTGGGAGAGACACACAGAATGACAAAGGATTTGAGTGACAGAAAATAAGAGGGTCGAGAGAGGCTGGATGGAAGACAGAGATACCAAGAGAAAGAGAGAGTGAGAATGATTAAGTAAGGGATTGAGAAAAGAGGAGTGGGAGAAAAGGAGAGATGTTTTGAGTGACACAGAGATTTATGTGTACAAAATAAAAATGGCACAGGCTGGATGGAAGACATACATCGGGAGAGAGAGAAAGAGAAAGAGAGGTTTGCATGACAGAGTTTTATATGCATGGAATAAGAGGGTCGAGAGAGGCAGGACAGAAGAGAGATATGTTGAAAGTGAGAGAGAGAGAGAGAGAGAGAGAGAGAGAGATAGTGCAAGCAAGAGAGGGAGAGAGGATGGTTGAGCAAGGAGAGAGAGAAAGGAGTGGATGGAGAGAGAGAGGGAAAGAGGGAGGCAGAAAGGAGGACAGTTAAGGAATGATGTGGAGGTGTAAGCTCAATAGCAGACGACGAGAGAATTAGCACACATACACACACACACGCTGCTCCACACATACACACACACATACACACACACACGCCAGACACAGTCGATGGATAAGAGGTGAATCTTAGGTGGTTCCTGGAAGACGGGTGGGTTTCATAGAACACACACACACAAACACACACACACACACACACACACACATACACACGCACCCACACACAGGTTCCTGTGTATTCGGTAGGCATGGGGCTCGTCATGGGGACTTTCTCGATGCAGAGCAAACAGGTGGATTATCGCAAAGGTAAGAGCAGCTTCTCTCATCCTCGGCTCTGTCTGAGTCGGAGTCTATGTTCTCTCACATACGACTCTCATTAACTGCAGGACTTCAGTTATTAATGCATGTGTGAGAGTAGAAAATTACTGTTTTAGAGTGTGTGGGTGTGTATTTTTCTGAACATAGAGACGTGTGTAAAGTTACTGTTGTTAGGAGATCAGTGTGTGTGTGTGTGTGTGTGTTCAGTCATGTTCATTCACAGTAAATCTGACCTCACTGCTGGATGAGTTTGTGTAAATATACTATGTGCTGTGGCTCTATAAAAGGCTATGGTATTCCACTGCTCTGTGCTTAACACTACATCATACAGTGTTTGGGAGAGAGAGCGAGAGAGCGAGAGAGAGAGAGAGAGAGAGAGAGAGAGAGAGAGAGAGAGAGGCTCTGGAATATAATGCAGTGTCATACACATTACACTGATGTGTATCTGTTCACATTTACATTTACACGCCTACGTATGGCTGTTTTATTTATTTTAATAGGACATCTCCCAGAAGCCAAGTGTTCAGGAACACTCTCATTGCATATACACACTCACAGGCATATCCTGACAAAAAAAACTCACATCTCTGGAATTGGACAAGGATAAAACATTCTTAAATTGAATATATGCTAATGTTGTGAGATTTTATTCCAAGTCAGTTTGGACCATTTCTGTGGGCACATTCATCATGATATGGTAAACTTGTGTTAAAACATAAATATATGAAGTTATGAGGTTTTGAAAGGACACACTAATGATTTATAAATATTAGGTCTTTATAATGTGACTATGTGTGGATCAGAATTTATGAATTGTAGCTGATCATAAAGTCTTCCCTGCTGATCCTAATTAGTCTTGTGTCAAAGGCAACAGAATCTGATTTGCTTTTGGGGAGAGTCAGATTATTCATTTCCTAACTAGAGAGAGAGAGAGAGAGAGAGAGAGAGAGAAGAGAAAGACAGAAAAGAAAGAGAGAAGGTGGAGCAAAAGATTGAGACAAGGATAAGAGAGTGAGAGAGAGAACGGGAGAGAGAATGAAAGAGAGTGAAGGGAGTGAGCGAAAAAAGAATGAAGAAAGGGAGAAAAGAAAGACAGAAAGAGAAGAGAATGGGAGGAAAGAGAGAGACAGAGAAAGAGGGGAAAGAAAGAGAAAAGAGAAAGAAAGAGGACAGGGACATAATGAGAGCAAAAAAGATATAAAACAGTAATAGAGAGAGAGGAAGAGTGAAAGAATGTGAAAGAGAGAGAGAAAAGAGATGAAGAGAGAAAAGAAAGAGAGAAAGAAAGAGAGGAGAGGAAGAGAGAGAGGCAGAAAAGAGAGATGGTATATATGTGTGAGACTGATTTCTGTACGTTGCTCGTCTGAGCTGTTGAGCTGTTCACCTTCAGACAGTTGAACACTTATAAGCACTGTGTGAGTGACACTCTCAGCCGGTTAGATAAGCACTGATCGAGAGAATGAAGGAAGATGATTCATGTAGGTCAGGGGAAAGAAACGGAAGAAAGGTGGGGAAACAGAAAAGAAACCTGAGCAAGACATGGAGGAGTTATTTTCTGGGCTGTTGAGCAAAAAGGTTGAGAAAAATGAAATGTCTCACCCTCTCTCTTTCTTTGTCTTCCTCTCTGTCTCTCTCTCTCCCTCTCGAGCTCCATCTTCTGACTGTTGTAAAAAGTGTAAATGAGATTTGGGGAGCTGTGAAAACAGCAGCCACCGTGTCTTACACAGAGCATGTCTGATTCATTCATTACATAAGGACACACTGCTCTGAACTGTGGGCTGTCCATCAGCTTGCAAATCAGCAGAACATACAGAGAGAGAGAGAGAGAGAGAGAGAGAAAGAAAGAGAGAGAGAGAGAGCGACATCAGGGCATCGAGATCAGGTCATTATAGACAGAATGAGGGAAAGAGACAGACAGAAGAATCACGTGGGAAAGTGAGAAAAAGAGAAACTCTGATGGACAAAATGGACAACGCCGGAGTGTTTGATAGAAAACTAGGGCCGAGAGACAGTGTGATTCTAATTAGAGAGAGCAGGAACGAGAATGACATATGGAGAGAGCGATGCTCCCTCCTTGGGGAGAGTGTAGTGATAATAACGTGTTTTTTCATTAATCTGTATCACAGAAAGTGTGAGCACTGAAGAGAGGAGAGTACCTACACCCTGCGCTATACAATCACATACCCACTGTGAAATAACTCAGACCAACAGAGAACAGAAAACAAACGCCCTATGGAGTGTGTTGTCTGTTACTAAAGCACAGGTGAAAAGCAATTTTGAAAAAAAAAGAAAAATCAATATTTTATTATTTAAAATGAATGTTTAGTTTATAGTACTGTGCAAAAGTCAGACACCATTCATTTAATTAATTTTCAGTCAAACAGCCATAAGTACAAGATATTCATTTTTAGGATATATGTTTGAGGAGATAAGATTTGCATAAATAAAAAAAATTCAAATGAAAAAAATTTCTGAAATGATTAAAAGATTAAAAAACATTAAAAGAAAATGGGACACCTAATAACCGTGCAAGACCTGGTAGACCATCAAAACCATCGCCGTCAGATAAACAGTACTGAAAGCTTTCATCTTTGAGAGAGAGAGAGGAGAAAATCAAGCTGCTTCAGATCTGAAAAAATCCGCAGGTGTTTCTCTCCATCCTTCCACTGTGAGAAGACAACTCAGTACTATAAGTCTAAAAGGATGTGTAGCTGTCAAGAAACTGTTACTGAGAAAACAAAAAAAAGACAAAAAAAGAAGAAAATTCGTAAATCAAACAAAGAAGCTGCTGAAGTTCTCAGAACAATGGACTGACCACCAGTCCAGACCTCAACATCACTGAATGTGTTTGGGATGAATTTGATCTTTCAAATTAAGCCAACGTCTAAGACTGAACTTTGGAGGTGTGGAAAAATATCCCTGCAGATTTTTTTTCAACCTGAAAGCAAGTCTCCTGAAGAAGACCGGAAGCTGTAATGAAGACAAAGAGTGGACACATTACATACTTAAAAAAGCGCTATCATATTTAGTGGTTTTGTGAAAGGGTTCATTATATATATATATATATATATATATATATATAATATATATATATATATATATATATATATATATATATATATAATGTATGTGTATGTATATATAACCTTTGTTGATACATATATTTTTATTTCATTTTCTTTCTGTAGCTCTTTAGGCAATAACACCATGACTAACTTGCTCTTGCTAAGCTTTCTGGTATAGGCAATATATGAAACAATATTGTTATTACAGCGAGGGGAAAAAACACAATCTTTCAATTCAATTAAAGTTTGCTTTATTGGCTTGATTGTATCAGTTGCAACACATATCTGGGCCAGTGTGGGATAAGCAGAATATTAAGCAATAAAAGTATAGCATAATTGTTTGAGTGTCAACTTATTGAGCACAATATTGCAACAAGATGGAGGAGTAAAACAGAGATCTTCTCTCAGTTTGATCGGTTCAGTTCAGTGTTGCTTTATTGGATGAATGAATCAGAGGCTGTATTGCCAAAGCTAAATAAACACAAAAAGCAAAAGATCAGGCCTTCATTTCTTTTACTGTGTAATTTAATCTGAAAATAGATGCTTTGGATCTCCAACAGTCATAAAATACTTTTCCACGTGGCTTTCTTTTAGTGCTTGATCACACTGGACTGAGGTTTTATAATTTTGTGTTTTTGAACAGCAGACTAGTCATCTGTCTAATTTATGCATTGCTTATTCTTTATGTATTATTGTACTCTTTTTCTTTTCATGCTTAGCCTGAACTATCACTTTTTTCTCTTGGATAGAACAGAAACAATAGATCATAGTGTTATTAGTTAATATGTGTCTTCAAACTACCCTGATAATCATATCTTGCTGGCTAATAACACTGTTATAGTATAGCATAATTATAACGTAAAGGAATGAACATCAAGAGATTAATTAGCAGTGCTACAGCAATGTGGGAAGCCTTTGGCATAGGACTAAAATTGATAACAGACAGAGTTTTGTAATTGTAGGACACAATTAGCATCAGACTGGAAATTGTCAGCTCTTTTAAGTAGAGAGCCTTTAGTACTGGGCTAAAAGGCTAACGATCACCACTTCAGACTGTTGAAGAGAGCTACATCAGGTTAATGAGGCCTACAGTCAGTGCCATTAGCTGTTGAGTGCCCCTAGCATGGCGCTAATCCTTTGTCTTCTCATTTCTGCTCTTTAGACGAGTACTGTCAGGACACAATTCAACAGATAGCGCTTTCCTTGGACTTTATATCTCCACATACATAGACAAAAGGTACTACCTTGTGAGGACATTTTTCCCAGTGCTCACATGAAAAAATCCTACTCCAACCACAAACCACAAAAACTATAAAAATAAGGTTAAGGAAATATGGGTTTAGGATTTGTGGGTGACGGTGTATACCCAAATGGCAGTCCACACTATGACATAACAAGTATAGTCAGGTCCATAAATATTTGGACATTGACAAAGTTATTAATTTAGCTGCCTACCAAAGAATATGAATTCAAAATGCAGCTTTCAGCTTTACTCTGAGGATATATTCATCTAAATCAAGGTGAACACTGTACAAATTACAAATTTAGAGAGATAACAAACAATAGCAGTAGGTAAGGCCAAATCACTTATTTGGTACATGAGCAGTCTCATGTACCATTAAAAAAACAGAATTCTCTGGTGTGCTCAGAAACATCAAAAGGCTCAGAAGACCATGGAAAACAACTGTGGTTGGAGAAGATTTTTTTCCCTGGTGAAGAAAAGCCCCTTCACAACAGCTGGCTAGATAAAGAACACCGTCCAGGGGATAGCGTATCTGTGTCAAAGTCAACAATCAAGAGAAGACTTCACCAGAGTAAATACAGAGGGTTTATCACTAGACGTAAACCATTGGTAAGCCTCAAAATAGGAAAACCAGATTAGAGTTAGCCAAAAAACAGCTAAAAAATAGCCTGTACAGTTAT